GAGAAAATTTTCTCGTAACTCCCATTAACAGTGGCATCCTGAGCGCTGAAAAGTTTTCTGAGCTGCGCCGAAATGCATTTTTTGCCCCTCCCAACACCTCCTCTCCTTGTAATGGACAAGCACAATTTCTGGAGCACATAATTCTGAAATGGAATCTGAATGCCTTCGTATGGAACATAGCACCCTTGCGATTTAGTTGCCAAAAAAATTGTAGAAAAAATGAAAACGCAAATTCATAAAAACCCACTTTTAGAGTTCTCCACAGGCGTGGCGATCGGTTCGTCAATAGTCTCTTGTTTATTCTTTTCCACTAAATTGCTGTTGATGTCTCGGTTTTCCGTGTCTTCCTCTAACTTTTCTTTGTCATGCTTCTTTGACGACTTCCCAGAAGATCTTTTGCTTCCCTCTTTGTCTTTCGTCCTGCTGCGATGATGGTCGCTTTCGACGCCATTCGCCGTCTCACTTCTTTCTTCTTCTTCTCTTTCGGCTTTCTCCTTCTCTGGATCCTGCAATAAAACAGCCACATCTCAAGGCATCAGTGAACTAGATAATTTTTGGGAAACTTATGCTCTTGAATTCTCCCAAGTTCTTTTGGTTGGCTTTGACCACAATGACAAATTCGAAAAACCCTGTTTATTTTGAGAAGCAATTTCGAAGGAAAAAAATATCCAGAATACGTCCAGGCTCCTGCTGCCGTACATAATATGAATGTAACCTTCACGTCAAATTTCTTTCAGACAAAACTTTGCCCTCCTTACTCTCACACGTGATGACATATTGTTGGCATATTACCAGGAAATCTTAATTTACCGGACTAAGAGTAGTTCACAGAAGACTAAATTTACCAAAAATGAATCTACATAGAGTTCAAAAAATCAAATGACAAGCAGTTTTGCAGGTTTCCTCTTCTGAATCAATGAATGTCCAAATTTTATCACTTACTTACCAAGCGTTTCTTCAATCCACAATAAATATCAACTTCCAGCTCAAACAGGGGTAGATTATTTCGAAATTATTGAAGGCGGCATGTCAATTGACATTGACCGCTACTGCACATTGCATTTTCGATGAAAATCATGAGAGTTCTCGTTGAAATGGCCCTTGAATTGATCAAAGAAAGATACCCCGCTCTCGTATCACGCACAGGATTACCCAGTGTAAGGTGAAGAGCCCCCAAGGCACAAAATCCGAATTGTTAGCAATAATTAGTTATGTCGATGAATAAGTCAGCGTTTCGTTGAGCACCTAGGTAAGAGAAAAACGTCCCAAAATATTCACGACGCTCGTTACGTGACACCAAAGTACTTCGAGGTAGTACCCTTAATATTTATAATTCTGACAAGACTGTCAACATCAGAAATTGGTTCATGTAGAAGAGGTGTCACGCGGCTGAAGACGCGGGCCCTATGTATGTTAAATGATAATCTCTTCAAGCGGTACATCAATGACATGCCAGAAATCAAAATTTATTTGTTTCCTGCACAACTAGAAATAAAGTGCTGTTGGTAGCGAAATGGCGGCCGCTTGGTAAAGAAAGAGGAAGAAAAATTTGTCAGGAACGGCTGTAAACCGTGCTAATTGTAAGGCAATGAGAGGCTGGCGCAGAAAGGAAGGCATTTGAAAAAGTGCAAGAGATAAAGGGGCTCCAGACACAAGCCTGGTGCGGCAGGGAAAACTGAAGCTGTTGAAGCTATCCTTGTAAAGCCAGCGCCTCTGTCGAGCTATCTCTATGCACAGGAGTGCCATATCTGTGGTGGTATCATTCCTCTAGGAACTATCCTACAGACCGAATAATCGTACACCCGCATTCTACTTGGGTTGCGCCTTTAAGGTTGACGAACGAGACAAGGAAGTCGCTCGCTTGTGGTAATATGTCAACACTTGAATAAGTAAATAAGCAAATAATTATCGTAATAACTTCACTCCCTACAAGTTTTACTTGAGTCCTGAATTAAGGTAATGCAAATGTGTTTAGATCCTTCAATCAATCATGGACGACGCACTTACCCACTTCTCAGAGAGTGGGAATATTTGGCTTCTTCCAGCCGACATGATACATATTTACTGCTAATGTGCATTCTCACATAGGCATCTGTTACAATTTCTTTGTGAGGGCAAAAGACTTGAATATGGACGGGGCCAACACGGGGACAACGGGTTTGTAGGGCAGATATGTTTTAATCTATTTTGAGTAGAAGTCGAGTGCACGGCACAACCCACAATACTTCTTCGTTCGCTTTTTTGGCTTCTCCTCCTTTGATTCCTCTTTCTTCTTCTCTTTCTCCTTGCTTTCTGATCGATGTTTCGACTTCCCCGACTTTTCCTTTGGTTCCTCGATGGAGGAAGGCCGACGCTTCTTCTTAGCCTGGCTTTGTTCGTTTTGGAACCCTCGTGCTTGTTCTGCCAATTTTGGATCAAAGAATAGCTGAATAAGAGATTTATAAAAGACGAACTGGAAATATATATCTATTTAAGATGAATTTGTGCAGATGAAATGTTTTTGTTTCTCAAATGTGCCTTCATGCACGTATAAGTTGATTGTTTGCGAATGTGCAGCGCTCATCTAATAAAATTAGGTTTCCCTTAGGAGTCGCCCATTTCAGTGCATACCTCAACTAAAATGGGGTACCTCCGCTCAGTGCTCTGTACATTTTAGCATATGCATAAGCCATTCCCTACTTGACAGTCTTTTTGAGTGGCTTTCACGCCAAATTCCGCAGAAAGCAACAAGTATATAAATCTTAGCGCTTTCTATAGAATGAAGATCTTATCGCAGCTGATGCAGCCACGTCGCGATTGTCAGACAAGAGGATTCAGTCCTAGTAGGAGCCCTGCGACCTTTGTCGCTTGTTGTCCACATAGGCTCGGAGCGATTTCGTCGCTAACATCAGGAGTTAGAACAATCATCAGAACATCAGAGAAATCGGTCAGCGTAAGTTCGCCGATATCGCATAATCTTATTGTCAGAAAGACGTCGCCACCCATCAAGTAAAGAAATGCCTTTAGACCTTGACGACGGGGTACGGTACCCCAGCCGTAATGCGCCCACGCGGCCTGCAAGGTGTGGTACTCAAGGGTGTTATGCCGTCCACGTTCTTGTTTTTGGTTCCAATTGTGGCTGTCCGAGCTTGGTCAAGCCAAGGCGAAATGCGAACGTGTTAATGTATTAGGTTGTCCCATAATTAGTGAATCACTTTGGGCATTTTTCAATTTCAATTTTTTTCTTTTTCATATGAAGTGCTTGCTCATCTAATCACACACCTTTGTTATCCTACAAACTATTGCCCTATACATGGGAATTTGGTCGCCGTCTTTCTCTGGAATTCCAGGAGTTATTGATAAAAGGAAGATCGGAAGTCAGGTTTGAGGTCATGTCACTTAGCGTAAAATTTCTTCCTGAAGAATAATGGTATAAGTAAGTCTAGGTTATCTTTCGCTGGATACGAGGGTAGGGCTTCACGGTAGAGCTGGAAGAACTGCTAGCCCAAAGGTCTGCAATTTTTTATGAAGATTTTCCGAAAGGTGGGGTCGAATGACCTCAGGAAAAAACCAGACTTGTTTGCTTGCTTTACCCTCAGATAGAACGCGTCGCCATTATGCTGTCAACGTATGCCTTACTCACTGACTCTAGTATTACTAGGCTCTGGTTCCCAGCGCCAGGTCCCTTCTGTGCTCCACTAAAATCTCAGAAGTGCCAGACATACAGGTCCGACAGAGGTGGTTGGGCTTTTGTTGTCAGAACTCTCCAATCTTTCAAGCTACTCTGCTGCTCCTTGTGAATTTGCTAGCACACTCCACCCACTTCACAACACTGGTGAGTACGCAGGATGATCACTGAAAAGAACTCTGGGAAGCAGGAGCGAACATGGCGATTTCATATCGTGTTTGGGGGAAGATTTCAGAAAAATTGAAAGTTTAAGCCTCGGGAAGGAACGTGGTGAACGGGCGACGACTGATTGCTTAGGTAGGAACATTGTGGTCACTACTTGGCAAAACATGTTTCACGCCTTCAAGATTTTTCATGGAATTTATAGCATAAATTCAAGCAATTTAATAAATTCAAAGTGATTCACTAATTATGGGCACAACCTACAAAATAAAGGAAGAACAGGCAGTGTTACTCTGTTGGCCCCAACCATACGTTGGATTTTGCGGTGACAAATACTTTAAAGTATGATATGAATGCAGATGTCTCACGTTGGCCTCAGAAGAGTTCTGACTGTATGCTATCGCTAATAAATGCGATTTCATGAGCGCATAATTAAATCATATTATGAATAATAAGTAGTGAGAACGTAACACTGAAGTTACCATTTGTCAATTCCGGCTCCTTGCCAGCAACTATTTTCGCCGATTTAATTGTAGGCAACGAGCCATCATTGACAGCTTCAATCAGCGAATCGAGAAACGCAGTTTTGTCGGCTTTCTCTTTGAATTTGGCAGGATTCAGGGCCTCCACAGAGAAGCGATCCTGAAAAAAGAAGATTCACAGAAGCACAAACATGAGAAATTGGAGCAATGTGGTACAAGAAGTTCGTTTTCAATTATTAACTTACTCGTAAATAACCAGTTTTTGCGGCTGTCGATGACACAATGTCCAGAATGAACCTGAATGGAGGACGAGCGAGCAGCTCATCAGTGAGCACAGGTTTATCGATGAGACCCGAGAATGCTGCACGGGTATCTTTGGCATTTGCCATTTTGATACTGCCCGTGTTCTGGAATGAATGAATTTCTCTAAGAGAAAATACCTAGGTTAAAGTTGGCATCGAGTTTTTACGGAAGGTGTTACATCAGGTGGTCATATAAGCAGCCGCTTACTTCATAAAGCAGAATTTTCGGATAAAATTTCCTTTTCTTTTTTATCATCTAATATATGCCATTCGAAAGATATTGATCTGGACTACAAAATTTAGCTTTCTAACAACTACTGACAACACTTTTGGCTTTGATGCTTGCAAACGGGCAATCCTGTCGGTGAAAATTAGTCAAACCAACAAACTAGTTCTGTTTCTATTCTCCACTAGAAAAAAAGTCAAGCAATGATGATCCTTTGCCTAGCCACGACTTCTTCCAAACAGTCTGCTAATAGGCTACCAAAAAAGCCTTGCCAAATGTTCTCTTTCAAAACAAAAATTGATTTTCTGAATGCCGCCAACCAGAGCTGTTTTATGCGAATTTTTTGGGCTCTGAAACCCAATTTTTTAGTATCAACTGCTAATAATGGCTTTTCCCTCGATCCATGCTTCATATGTTTTATAAGAAACCTTCACTGCATATGGTACACGAATTTTAGGCTACCTTTATAAGGTGGTCAGCGCACGAGAATGACCACTCATTACTTGGAAGAAAAAAAATTCCCCGAGTAGAAGCGTACATTATTAATCCTATTGGATGTTCTCTAAGGGCGCAAGGGAAAAACACGGTAGATAATGGTAGTTGCCGGGTGCCTAATTTTGTCGGACTTCCTTCTTGTAAGAGGTAAAAGCGAAAAATAATTTCTCTGAAGAGCAGAGAAATCCCTTCGGATCGTAATGACATGTTGCAAATACATGTGATTTAAGCGGAAAACTTTTCATTTGAAAAAACGACACTGCTTATGGGACAATTTTGCCAGGGATCAGGGTGTTTCTACTTACATCCTTGACCACAATAACGGAGAGAAACTCTCAGAAACCAGAAGTTATCAAGTTAATCAAATTTTATTTAACCCATAACGGACGGCGTGCGCCACAAGGTGGCGCACGACTATTTCTTTTGTTTTTGGAATGTTTCTAGCAATCTTAATATACCCATATATACTCTCAGCAATGTGGAATAACATATCTTCCCAGGACCTGGACGGCTGGATTTTTGACAAACCTACAATAAATTTTGTTTTAATTTACATAAGTTTACTATTTGATGGGTGGCTTACCCATGGTTCGCACGTCCCGAGACCCCTTCCCCTAAATATAGCCACATCCTTGCTCGGGGTTGTTGTTTCGCATTTTTCGATAATGTCACCTACAGCTTCCATTCATTCTTTGCACCCTAGTTTTAGAGCGGAAAGGCGGGCTACGAACTTGTCGTCAACGGAAATCTCTTTTTCGGATGATGAGACTCCGACACCTACTTTAGCCCCGTCTTACCTGCTGTTCACATAAGCCTACATAAACCCTACCCTGGGTGGCGGCGTGCGCCACATGGTGGCGCACGCAACAAAACTGGCCGTCCGTTATGGGTTAAGATACCTAAGAGGCAACGCATGCGAGTCCAGTGTCACTGAGAGGGAGGTCACGCTCAGACAATTTCTCAATATTTTGAATGGTCCCTTTCGACCTATCGCGGCTGCTGCCAGGTATATGTACGTAAATTTTATGTGTACTTGTGACTTCTAGGAAAGGGTTGAGGTGAGGTGATGAAGACAAGTAGGACACTCTTTATACGCCACGTCTGTGGGTTCGATCTTGGGTTGGACCTTGCCTAGGCTCACCGGTTTTTCCTTCTTCTGGTTTGGTTAATTGGTACTGGAATTTTAGCTATGGGTTAGCACAATGAATTTTGCATTGACGTCTGCAGAAACCATTGTTAGACCAGGTCGCCTTTTATTACAGCTACCATTCTAGATGGGAGCGGAATGCGTGGCTTCTACCAACGAGAGACTGTTGATGCCGAATATAATTGATGATAAATTGCATATTTGTAGAAAGATAACGAAAAAATGACTACTAGGTATTTCAAATTTCTTTGCCATGAGAGATATTGTTAATTATTTTGTTCAGAAAGGTAAAGGTTCTTGCAGTTAAAAGGTAAATAAGATAACTTCGTATGAGGGTTCTAGTGATCAAAAATGGAAGTGGAGTAGAAACTTGATCGGAACGAGGAAAACAAAACAATTTTCAGGAAATCGATTAATTTGGCTTAATTTTCGCAAACGTTTCTAGAAGATGTACTAAGAAAAGTCGTAAGAAACTAATACTCGTCAAAGTTGCACTTCTCTTTTAAAAATTTTTTCTCATCATCTCTTTGAATAATTAAAACCCTGTCAAGTAAATTGAGACTATAGCTAGGTGGGATGTGTTGATTTTCTAGTTTTGTGGGGAAAAAATCGCGAATTGCGGCTTACGTTCACATTGGGCTCACCCGGCCCACAAGACCCTGCCCTTGCGGCATATCTCAAAGCTGGTAATCGGCGCAACCCCTCGCACGTGTGGATCATTCCCACCACACTAAAGGGATTTCTCCACCCACCTAATCGGGAGATTCTCTTTAAGCTGCTTGGCGAACGTAGATTATCGGATGCAGTCACGCACATTGCCGTCAGTGCCAAAAAAAGGAATTATGGAGATAGGATTCATGAAATGAGCCAAGTTTAGTTGGAGGGCACACTATTTTGTTCCGGTAACGGTATCCATTTGACTAGGCAGGAAAGCTACAGGATGGGTGAGCAAGTTCCCTTTTGCGAATGGAACTCCAGTAGCATAAAGCAAAAGTGTTCGTCATGAGTTTTAATACCTTGAAATACCTTGGATGTTCTGCGCCACGATGCCCTCCCTTCCACCCATTCCCCCCCCCTTCTCCCGTGGTATGCTTGAGCCGGTTGTAATCCTATGGGGTGAAAATCTACGAGCGGCAAAGGATAGAAAGAATAGTACCAGCTTAGAAATGCGATGTATGAATAAACAATGTTTGTAGGTCTGTGCAGCAACGACGACGTTGCCGTAGCAACGCACACGCGCGCCGGCTTTTCAAAGGAACCACTAATACTAAGATGTATGGGAACTTCAGAAAATTGTGATGTTATAGCAATAAACACTCAACAAACCTAGTTTGATCCTGTGATGCGCCGTGTACCCGAATTTTTATCGTATTGCAGAAGATCAATGGCTCATTACCACGTCATTACTTGACGTCAATGGCACCCAACGATGAGTGCCACCATCAGATTTGACTATTTTGCGCAGACTTCAACTTCCTGAACTTCCATGCCAGAACATAATATAAGGAAGGCATTATAGAATCCGCGTCGTACATAGTCCGTGTGTATCTTCTAAGGACGCCCCAGGATCAAGCTGATAGTTTAAATACGCTCAAAAATGGAATTAGAGTGCGAAATGGACCAACAATAGAGGAAAGAGGAGTCGAAACCTCAGAAAATTGAGGCGATTTCTCTAGGCTGTGAAGGCCCTAAGAAGCAGGACGGCAAGATAAGAGATAACAAGCGCAGCGGAGAGGCAAAAGAATCGGTGACGAGAGAGCAGGGGACCAGCGAGAGCGGATGTGGTCTATGACATCAAACTCGGGGCAGAACCTCGGGTGTTGAGTAAAATCCGTGTGCAACCTGACGCCTTAGCGCCTTTGCCTGGCAAATTCGTCCGCAAAAGTGGTATGACTGGTATGCTTGCTCTTCCCTCTACCTTTTGCGTGCTAAAATTTCACTACACTCATCTAATCCTTGTGCCTTTGAATTAACGACCCCAGATGAGGTCGTGTCGAGGAATCTATTCTGTGAGTGGGTTAGAGTAGCCCACAAGTATCACGGATGTGCCGTTGTCACGGTGAAAGTGCACGAGAGTGGCGCTAAGGCCTTACAAAGATATCTGATGGTGACTAATGTGACCTTACGCACGAGACACCTCATACACCCATAACACGGAATGTGGCTTACGGCGTGGCGCCTACTGCGAATACGCGCGAATGGAGCCATGGAGCAAGCAAGTTCGTGT